TTTTTTTTTTTTTTTTTTTTTTTACTCAAGTAAAGGTTATTCAACATTTTTTAGATCTATTTCATATGGACTTTTTTGCTATGAAGCCAACAGTTGGCTTCATAGCAAAACCGTTCATATGGATATGATATTTTTTCTTGAAAAATACATTTCTTTTAGTCGAATAAATTATGTTATATAGATAAATATAACATCATTATTTTTTATTTCACTCTATTTATAATTTATTTTTTATTTAAGAAAATATATTATAAAATAAAATAAACAACGTATGAAATAAAATATTTGACTTGAAATTTTATTTTAGTGATTAATTAAATAAGATTGAATATTTATTATTATAAAAAAATATTATAAAAGGAAAGAAACTCATACTCACAAACGGGAAGAGAGACATTGGGATGAGAATTCATAATATATAATTATGTATAATATTAAACATTATTTGTGACAAATAATTGATTATGAAAAAAAATACATAATTAGGATTTGTATAATAATTGATTATGACTAAAATAAGTATTTATTTGCAACACATATTTATGATATTGTTTGAATGGTATATAATACATAAAAATTAACAAAATTTATTTCATGGTAATAGATGTAGTTAAAGCATTTATCTAGTCAAGAAAAATTGGAGTGCAAATTCCAATACAATTATGATATAAATTAATTATTTAAATGACATAAATATTTTTTGTTGATAAATCATGCATAGAAATTGATAAAATTTATTACAACTAGTATTTGATCCTGTGCATTTGCACAGATATAAAACATGTTTTTTTTTTATATTTATTAATTAGACATGTACTTCTATCACATAAAAATATTACTTTTTCTTAAGTTATTTTTATCATTCAAAATTGATTGAGATTTAAATCTATACTTATATTAAAAGCTATACTATTTACTAAATGTAATATGTAGAATAGTCAACCATAATTAATGATTTGCTATTTTTATCAAGCATTTAATTAATGCATCTAATATTTTTGGTATGCAAATCAAATTAGTATTTAATTAGTTTCTAAAATATTGGTATGAAATATTAATTTAGGATTATCCATGTATTTCTTAAAATGTTGGTATGCAATACGTAAAAGAAGATTTTTAAATTTTTTTAAATGTAAATTATTGCAACACGTAAAACAATTTCAGTTATTTTTTATTTTATTTTACATATAAAATCTAATAAATATTTAATCAACCTACAAAATTGGATTTAGTTTGATTCTCCATACAATTGGTTATAACTTTTTCAGTTGTACTTTTTTTATTTATTTATTTTACACTTTTAAATTAATTAAGCTCTCCGAAAATACCAAATCAAATGATTTATGTTTTTTTTTTTTTTTTTTTTACAATTTTAAATCTATATACCCAGCTTAAAAAAACTCATCGCATAGATATGGATGAGTTTAAGAAAAATTTCATAACCCAGCTTATAAAATTCCATCTCCACGAGTCAACAAAATCACATCCCTCTATCGTAACAACTTTAATGGTAAATAAATAAAAGTTTAATTACTACTATAAATCCATTATCTATATAGATTTTTTAAAAATCTAAATTTCACATGTCTAATCTAATATTTTAGATACTTTTAAATATTATTTGCATGATTTTTGTTTTTACACATTTGCTCTCTCTCTATATATATATACATATATAGAGGCTAAATGAATAATTTTTATACATATTTTTCTTACGGGTAGTTTAGAAAAATTTAGGCAGCTTCAAACATTATTTGTGAATAATATAGAATATTTTAAATGCTTTTATAGATGTTATAAAATATTTTAAGTATTTTTAATATTTATATATCACACTTAAAAAAATATTTTGCCAAAAAAAAAACATTAAATACACAGTGTAAATGTTAATTGAAACAGACTTCAGTGTTCGTCTTTGATTTTGTCAAAACAAATCTCATAAAATCGGTGAAGTCTAAATTTGTACGTAAAGTCTATCTATACTAAAAAAAAGTAGATTCAAATTGTATGGAAATCTGTTCTGATTTTATAGTACGAACTACAAATTTTGCACCCGTGTTCAGGAGCTACTTAACGGGCAAGCTCTGTGGAAATAACTCATTTAGTGCTTCTGTCCAGTGCATACGATTTGTGTTTGTATTACACATACTAGAAATTGTGCACCCCGTGCATCTCACCGACTTTGTACTAATAAATGACCTTAAAATTGTGCATCCCGTGCATCACCCGTGTTCACATATTGGCCTATTACAGGTCACGTACTATATATATCCCGTACATTTTTCTTTATTCATATATATAATTATTAAGACTTGATAAATGACCTTAATTTTGTGCACCCCGTGCATCGCACGGGATCTGTTCTAGTTTTATTTTAACCATGCAACGTTTAAAACAATTTATATATTTGTTGCATATATTAAGAAAATTAACATAAATAAAAAAAAATTATTGGTGTTTCTGATTTTTAGAAAAAAAAATGTGCCAATTATATTTTTCTTCCAACAATGCAACCAAATATAGCGGTTACAACTCTGAATGTGTCAACCAACTTTAAGTTTCAAACATTAGCCGTTATACATTTGAATATTTTGCTACCAAATTTAGAATTAATTTAGTAACTGATCCAAAAAAAATAAATAATGAAAATATATATTAAGGTGTAACGGTTTTAGTAGATTAGTGAGTAATTAATTAAAAAAATGTAAATTATTTTGGAGAAAAATGAAAATAGGTTTTATTAAATGTTTTATTAAATGCATCAGCTAGTAATTATATATTTATAGATAATAATAATAATAATAATAATAATAATAATAATAATAATAATAATAATAATTAATAATAATAATAATAATAATAATAATAATAATAATAATAGAAGATTGTAACATAAAAAGATGGTAAACAATAATCAATATTATTAAATTTGTTATTAGTAATTAAATATATAGAGAGATATATAAATGATAAAGTTTGTAACAGTTTTTGGAGGGAAATCGAAATGAGGTTTTATTAAATGCGATTAGCCAGCAATTATATATATATAGGTGTATTAAATGTAGTTTTGGAGGGAAATTTTGAGCTGCTTTGCTTTAATATATATATAAATTGACAAATAGGAGTTGTAAGGTTCAATAAATTATATTTTATCACTGTACGAGGTAGACGATTAATTACAAAATAAACATGAATGAAAAACAAGAACCCTCGACATATCACTCCAAATATATATATAGAAGTGCGCTCAAATGAGAATGAATCACAATGAAAGAAATAAGAATAAATCTAAACCATTGGATCTATCACATCAATGACTATGATCAAGTCAAACTTTAATAAACAATGGTCAATCATTAATGGCAATATGGTAAATAACTTGGTTAAATTTACACATCTAAGGACAATTGTGTAATTTTGCACACACCCACCCCAAAACGTGGGGCCCACCACAATAAATTAAACTCATTATTTCTCACCACACACAAATCACACACTCAGAAATTACACACACACGCCACCCCTCCCCGCCGGCAGCAGCCCCGCCATCGCCGCCAGCGGACCACCATAACCGCCGGCGACACGAGCTTGCCGATCCAGAAGATGCCGACGCCATCCATGCCGTAACCACGCCGTTCACGCCCACCGCTGCCAACAGCCCCGCCATGGACAATTGCAGGTCCCCATCCGTCGCGTCTCCGCCGTCCGCGTACCAGATACGGCTGCGAGCATGATGTTTCCGACGGAAAACCGCCACCAGCACTGTCGTTTCGAGGCTGTGAAATCGACATCCAGTACGATGTACGATTTCGAGATGCAATCGGCCTTCATCTGCACCGTCGTACCCCTCCCCCCCAACTAGAACACCATGTACACCGTCCGCCGTTCGTCGAGATGAGCCACGCCGAAGTCTTAACCCGTCGCCGCCGTCAGACGGTCATCGCCGACTACTCCGACGCAGCCCCGTCCTCCACACTTGGTCGAGAGTTACTGGTCCTTCAGGCTGTAGTTACAGAAAAAAAGGTCTCGCCGTACACGGTGCCGGAGGGCCACGATGTTCGGTGGCAGTGGAGAGGACTCGTGCAGCATACGGGAATTCGGGAGTTGCAGAGAGAATATTTCAGATCTGAAATTAAATGCTTCGTTTGTGAATTTGATAGGTCCTGTGGGTTTTATTGCAATTTATGATATTTTGATATATTTCAATTTAGTTTTTAGGTCAAATTTACAATTAATTTAAATATAATTAATGTTTCAATATTATTTATTTATTATTTAAAAATAGATTATATATTGCATAAAAATATATAAAAAATGATAATAATATTCATTATACAATTTAGACGTCCAATTATGTAATTTAAAAAAAATGTCATCAAAACGAAACAACCTATTTTTTCAAAAGTAATGCAAGATAATCGAACCAAAATTTAAATTTCGAACTAAAAAATTTAGTTCATGGAGTTTCGTTATATATTGTGCAATCTAATAGTCAATAAAGTGCAATTCACCCAACCATATTGTGCACCCGTTAAACGTAAAAAAAAATTAAAAAATTTAAAATAATATTTTTCACATTATTCGGTTATTTTAAAAAATAAAAAAAAATAAAGACGGCATCAAACTTAAACATCCGTGATTTAATAGTAAAATACAGATAACTGAATCGAACTATAAATTTCAAACCGAGAATTTGAGAGTAGTCGGTTCTGTCTTTGTGCATTCTGATAGTCATGAATGTAATTACTCCATTACTATTGTACAATGATTCGATTCATACCAAAATGTAACCGATCTGAAATAATCGGTTTATTCAATCGATTAATCGAACTAATCAAAATAATAGACAAATTATTATATCTCTCTTATTCTTATAAGAAAAAATGCCTCCCCTTTCTTGTGAAGCCACGTGGCAGCATTGAGCTCTTTGGAAGACACACTTATGTGTACACGTGCAACGCTTTCTAACCGCATTTCTTTCTCCTTTTAAACCGTTTATTGTACAACGCAAAACGACGTCGTATGGCATAACACCTTTTCATTTACCAAAATGCCCTTCGATTTTTTTTTATTCAAACAGTAGGTCGGCAGACTTGCTTGATAGGAAAGAAAAGAAGGTAAAGCAGCTTTTCTTATCTAAATTCTACCCACCCCTCATTTCTTCTCTACCAAAAATCCCGTTTTTCTCTACTGTCAAACCCTAACCATCATCGTCGGCCCTATGTTGATCGAAACAAAATAAAGCGATCTTTGAGATCGTTGGCTAGCAGCGGCGACGAGCGGCACTGCGTCTGACGGTCGGTGAAGTCCGCTGGCCCACGGCAGTGATCGGTGGCAGCGTCGCTACTGAGAGAGGTGCGACTGTGAGTCCCATTGGTAAGTTTTGTTCAGCATAATTTTTTATTATTTTTTGCCCGTATTTTCCTGAGGTTTTCTTATGAGCTGGCTGTTGTAATTACTTGATGTTATAGAATATGTAGTCCATGAAATTAGAAAAAATGGTAAGGCTTCTGAATTTTGTTTGTTTCATACTCTATGGGGGATATATGCGGCGTTTTTGCAGTTTGAGTTGATTTATGAATATGCACTCATTGATCTTTTCATTGCATAGTATAATGATGTTTCAGTCTATTGGTTATCTTTGTTAGAGGACACCAAAGCCATAAAGCAGCCTGTAAAATGAAATATAAAGTATTATTTTCAGGATTGGTAAAAATACCAGCAACGCTTGCATTGTCTGACCCACTACATGAGTTTTCATTAGACAGACTAATTAAACTCATATATTCCAGATTTTTCGTGTCAAACTGACACAGGTGTTTCAGTAAGTAGAGCAATTCTACCTACTAAAAATAGTTTTGTCGATGAGGTTGATAGTAGGCTCATCACAAAGTTTCCAGGTGAAATGGACGAGTACCGTAGTTTTGATATGGTTTTGAATGCATCTCTCCAGATAGAATATGAAGACCTTATAAATTCGTTGACACTGAGCGACATTCCTGAACATAGGTTGAAGCTTAAAGTGAATGCCTTTGTTATGCTGCTGAGAAATTTAAATCCGACAGAGGGTCTATGTAATGATACTCAATTGGTTTGCAAAAAAACTTGATAGGAATGTTATTCATGCGCAGATATCTGTCGACCAATTCGCTGAAAAAAAAATGTCTTCATATATAGGATACCATCGGAACCCCCAGCAACGAGCAATATCCATTACCTTACATATGCACACAGTTTCCACTACGTTTGTTTTTACAATGACGATTAAACAAGGCACAGGTCGAAACATTAGCCAGTGTTGGTATTTACTTGAGGGAACCAGTTTTTTCCCATGGTCAACTTAATGGTGCTTTGTCCATGCAAGTACATCTAATTGTGTAAAAATGCTTATAATACCACCGTTCTTTGACTAACGGACACCAAACTTTACCAAAAATATGATGTGGTGAAGTTCTGCAGGCTGCTAATATTATTAGAAGTAAAGGGTAGCCTATACGATCTATATTCTTATTTATTTTATACAACAATTTAGACATGTTATGACATGTTTGCTTAAGGTGTTTTTTTTTAAAAAAATGTTCCTTATGTGCAAGTTGTTAGTGGAACGAGACACCATCTTTAGTAGACATAATATTTTTTGTTTGGGAGTACACATCAAATATGCCACTTTTTTTATACTGCCATTCATGTTGAAAATAGAGAAGCCATATTTTGTACGGTATTGTGATTTCAAGTAAACCCAATTAGTCAATGTGTACTATGTGCTTTAAACACGATTACCGCAACTGGGCATGTAATGCCACCCCAAAAAAGGTATTATAATTTATATTAAATTTAGGCTGCCCATTAGGTTATCAATATATGTTTTGCTTTAATAGTTGTGCAGATCGTCGTACTAGGCCAACCAGCTAAACAGCTTCTCAGTATCTTACTATGAAGTTGTACTTAATTACGCTTTTCCGTACAGATTCACTTCTATTTTTATTTAATATGTTCTAGCCATTAAGAGCAGTGATTATTTTGCGTGTTGTTTAATATGATTTAGTAAGCTGGAGTATAATGACTAATTTTCACTACATAATCTCCTGATATTTTTCAATATATATAAGTATAACCAACTCATTGAATCTCAATATTTGCAAATGTAGTAGTACGATGAAGGCTTTACCCACAGAATGATACAATAAGCTTTTGGAAGGTGCCTTCCCACCGGTGAATAACTGGTACGACACGTATTGCGAGTCAGCTTACCA